CTCCAATCCTTTGTTCCTTTTCTTATACACCCCTGTATGAGTTCACAAGGTCAGGGGTTACCATGGATACCTTTTTTTGATACCACCTTTTTACAGCATTATCATTGCTTTGTTATAAGACCTTGCTATATATCTGGTTAATTGACACACATAATGTAGACACTGGGTGTTTTGGAGACCTTGAGATAAAATCCATTTGTTTCCCTTTTCATAGTTTTTATGGCCAATTAAGGGAGAAGAGGAGGCCTTTTGGGTTTTTGGCCAAAATTTACTCGATGTTTAAATTCTAACTGCTAATTAAGCATCTAAACTATAATCTCTGGGCCATAAAATAAGTGAAGTTTTCAAGACTTGGTTTTAGGGGGGTTTCAAAGAGAAAAGGGCAGAGAAAAGCAAATTGTGGGGTTATGAATGCCCTCACAAGAGGAAGTCCAAAACTCACCAACAAAAACTATTAAAATTGATATATAACTATTTGACATTGCCAATTAGGTTTTCTGTTTTTTTCCTTTTTGCCTGAAATTAAACTGCTGACACTGAATTTGTTAAAAACAACATTGCAAAACAAAAACTGCAACCCTCTAAATCATGTATTCTATGGTAATCTCTACTGTATAAGAGAAAGCTGACTCAGAGAGATGAACAAAATAGCTATGTTTAACCTAGGCACTAGGATACACACTTGTAAATCCCAGCCCTCAGGAGGCTGAGACTGGAAGACCACTGCTAATTCAAAGCCAGTCTGAGCTCCATAGTGAGATCCTGTCTCAAAAAACTAAAAAGAAAAATCCACCAAGGTAACGGAAGAATTTCTCATACTCAATTTAGGGTTCAGTTGCCAGAAACCTGGGCAGTTTCTTTCTTGACACAGTTGCTAATAAATGAGCAGGGAAGAGATTGTCTTTTCTAAAAATACTGAGGATGAGTGGAGGGCAAATGCTCATTAAAGATTTGCCAATAAATGAATGATCAAAGAGTCAATTTGGAGACAGTTATTTAAAAAGCAGTCTGCGTGGCAGGGGATTTAGCTCAATGGCATAAGCGCCTGCCTGGCTAAGAGCTAGATCATGAGTTTGACCCCTCCCCCCCCCACTGGTACCTACATAAAGAAATAAAGTTCACGTGGTAGTATTTTTTTTTTTTAAAGCAGTCTGCTCCCTTCCCACCCGGTTCCCCAGAAGTTGGTTGAGCAGCACTGGACATCACAGCTAGCAGGAGACCATTAACAGCTTTAGCCCAGCCACTGCCCCGCACCCTGATCTTGGCTCTGGGCCTATGCTGGGGCTCAGGCTGGTTGCTTACTAGGAATTTGGACGTCTTCAGAGCCAGCTCTGAGGACTGTTAGTCTAACTTGAGCACTTGAGCACTTACCTTATCGAGGATAACTACCGTTCACACCCCAGCCCCAGGCTAATGGAGTCAGAGCAGGCAGGGCCCTTTACTGCTCGGGTCTTCCTGGAAGAGGAAGAAGGAAGTACACCAGGTGCCCTCTGGAGCTTTCCAGGAAGCTGGGGCTGGGGCTGGGTGTAACAAGAGATACTGCCAGTGAGCCTGTGCAGCTGAGGTGTGCCCACCCTACCCTCCACACTCACAGCTCCTGTGCAGTCCGCACTCCCAGTTGTTTCCCTCACTGCCTTTAACCAGGCCCAGAGAAAATAAGAGTTTTGTCCTTGCAGAGACTCAGGTTGGGGATTAATCCCCACCAGGAGCCTTTTTTAGGCTATAAATTTAATTCTATTTTGATGTTTACAAATTTGGGCTTTACTGGATGTGGTAGCACACTCCTGTAAATCCCAGCACTTGGGAGGCTGAGGCAGGAGGATCTAGGTGAGTTTGAGGCCAGCCTGGGCTATACATAGTGAGTTCAAGGCTGCCCTAAATTACAGAACAAGACCCTATCTCAGGGGAAAAAGGTCAAGGGGGAGGCAAACATGATGATTACATGTCTGTAATTTCAGCATTCAGGAGACTGAAGCAGGTGGATTACTGCAAGTTCCAGGCCAGCCTGGGCTACATATTAAGTTGGAGATCTGCCTGGACAGCATAGTGAGACCCTCTCTCAAAAAAGAAAAGAAAACTGCAGTCTGTGGTTTAAGGAGACAATTATGACTAGATTAAGGTCATTGAGATGGAGCCCTATGATTGCATCCTGGTAGCTTTCTAAGATAAACACATATATATTCTTGGGATGTGCCAACAAAAACACCATCACCAGAATATAGCCTCTCAGCCTTGGACCAGAATCATGAGCCATGATAACAAGATAAATCCCTTTTATTTCATTTTCTTTTTGAGCTAGGTGTGGTAAGACCCTGTCTTAAAAACAAACAACAAAAAAAGAGCCACTTTTTTGAAGAGAGTTTTGCTACAGAATTTTCACTAGAATTTACTCAAATATGATACTGTGACTTAGCAACAGAAAGACTATTGGGCAGTGTTCATAGGTGGTATTATGGTAGATACGTTTTGTCAACTTAAGGAGTTTAGAATTTTTACTAAGAGACTTAGTAGGGAGCCAGGATCCTTATTTTATATATATTCTCATCCTGTGCAAAAGGAGAGCACAGAGATTTTGTGAGTGCTACATCTGCCCTGGGAGATATGGGAGGGGGAGCTGCATACAATATAAGAGGGGAAAGAGGCTTGTTTTTCCAGGATTTTGCTCTGGCTGCTTTTGTTGGCTGCTGCCTTGAAGTGTTGCCCCTGTGCCGTGCCACCCTGCCTTGGAGCCAGCTGATTATGGACTGAAACTTCCATAAACAGTGAGCTAAATAAACCTTCCCTTCCTTCACTTTGGGTACTGAGTATTTTATTCCAGCAACAGAGAAAAGTAACCAAGTGGTGCAGTCATGAAGGCTCTAACTCCATCACTGGATTCCGCTGTACATGAGTTCTTAGCTCAGTGGGCTTGTTAGGACACAAGGCCTAACTGGGTGAAACAGGCCACAGGACGCTGATCTGGAGCATAATTTATTCCCTCCTTTTCCTGATGGTCTTTGCTTCCCGGTTGAAATGAGGAGTGCACAGCTGCTCCACCACACCCATGCTCCACCATGTAGAGGGCCTCAGCTTAGCCCACAGGCATGGAACCAGCTGACCACAGACTGAAACATGAGCTAAATTAATTCTTTTCTCCATGCTGGGCACACCTGTAACCCAGCATTCAACAACCTGAGACAGGAGGATCACAGTGAGTTCAAAGGCAGCCTGAACTATAAAGCTAGACCCTGTTTCAAAAAGACAACAAAAAGTTCTCCTTTTAGATTACATCAGTATTTTGCTACAGTGATGAAACTCTAACATCCCACTTGTGTAAAATTAAATGTACCAAGAGTCTCATAGCGGGATTCGGATATTAAGGTTTTGCTCCCTTCTCAAGGATTATACTATCCAAATCCACTACCAAAATGATAGACCATTACTGCTTGGTTTTTTGAACTCTTACTATCAGGAACAATGCTTTTATTTTATTTTATTTTATTTTTTTGTCTTTTTCCTTTTCATTGGTACCAGGGATCGAACTCACGACTGCCTGCTTGCAAGGCCGGCGCTTATGCCGCTGAGCTAAATCCCCAGCCCCAGGAACAATGCTTTTACATGGCTCATTGTACCCTGCTGAGGTAGGTTCTATATTTCTGCAGGTCACACATGTGAATACCAAAGATTAAAAAGCTAAAATCTGGGGCTGGAGATTTAGCTCAGCGGCATAAGCGCCTGCCTTGCAAGCAGGCAGTCGTGAGTTCAATCCCTGGTACCGATAAAAATGAAAAAGACAAAAAAAAAAAAAGCTAAAATCTAAGGTCTCACATGACTGACAATCAGGTGTTGGAAGATTAACATGTACTTGCAAAGAGTAGATGCAAGAAGTACTCAGCACACATAGAGGCTAAATGAACGAGGGGGGTTCTTATAATCAGCATGCAGCATCTATCACATGTTACTATTTTACTGACTATCTGGTTTGTTTTCCTGCACTGAGGTATACCAAGATTTGAGACTAGGATTTGAGTCTTACAATCTCAGAAACTTCAGTACCCAGCACTTAGATGCTTGTTGTCAAAGAGTGAATAACATGTTTTTTTGAATCTAGGTCCTAGCTCATGCTAGGAACTGGCTTCACCACTGGACTACATTCCCGGTTTACTTTATTTTAATTTTTTTGGTACCAGGGATTAAATTCATGAGCTGGCACTTGCCTGGCAGGCACTGTGCTGCTGAGCTATATCCCCAGCCCATATTTTATTTTACTTTATTTTATTTTGAGACAGGATCTTGCTTTATAGTTTGGGATGGTCTTGAACACACTATGTAGTCCAGGCTTTCCTTGAACTCGCAGCAGCCCTCCTGCCTCAGTCTCCTGAATGCTGAGATTATAGGCATGCACCACACACAGCCCCCAGCCCTTTTAAAATTTTATTTTGAGGGCCAGGGGTTTAGCTAAGTGGCACAAGTGCCTGCCTGGCAAGTGCAAGGTTGTGAGTTCGAGCCCTGGTACAAAAAAAATATTTTGAGACAGGGTCTTGTTAAATTGCTTGGCTGGCCTGAAACTTGCAATCCTCTTGCCTCAGCCTCCCAATAAACTGGGACTGAAGGCATATGCCAGCATACCCAGCATCTACAAATATGTTCTTCTAACTTCCCTGGGATTGAATCTCTGTCGTCCTGTGGCCACATTTTGATACGGAGCAGATTAATACCTCGAACTGCTCAGGAAATGCAGTGGTTGACTTAAGGTCCCCCCTCGTTCCCCTGGAAGATCCTAGGTAGCATCCCCAAAATGGTCAGAGATGGGTGGACACCAGGTCCATGTCCATGGCCCACTGATGCAATTCTTTCTTCCCAATCCACATAAAGCACACAAAGCTGGAGACTTGTGTGAAGTTATAGAAGAGTTGGTGGTAGGGTGGCTATGTCTCCATTACCCAACCTCTGCCCTTGTGGCTGTAACACCCTCTATCTGCAAAAATTCACAATCTGAAAAAACAGGTAAAGAGCAGAGCTTTAGGTCAAAATGTTTAATTATGATCCAAGACCTCAGGGTGAATTTGAGACAGAAGCAGAAAGAAAGCAAGGCCCAAAGACTTCTGCTCCTGCTGCCCAAGTGACGTCTGTGACTGGAGCAGAGCAGCAGAGGCAGTGGGTCTCATCCTCCATTCACAGGAGGGTGATGGGGACACAAGCGCAGGTCTTGCTAGGCTGCCTTATAACTCCCAGCCCTGCCAACCTGCAGACTGCTGCAGAGAATGACTCATGTGCTAGCTCCGGCTACCCTGGTAGGGAGGAATCAGGAGAAATGTTGGCAGAACTGATCACCTTCAGAAGACACGGTGAAATGGTGATTCCCCCAGGCTTACGGAGGGGCAGCATGAGTCAGAAGCAGGGGTAAGGAGGAAAGAAGGAGAACCATCGGTCCAAATCTGGAAGTCCCACCCCATGGCCTCATCTGGAGCTGCCCAGGTGCACAGGACAGCGTGCCAGGTGGGGTGAGGATGGCCACGTTACGTATGCACCTCCTTCCAGATGCTGCCCTCACCACACAGTGCAAAGGCTCAAGCTGTAGAGGGGGAAGACTTTCCCAGGGAGGTCCAGCTACCACAGGCCGCAGCATAGAATCAAGGGAAGTGTACAGCAAAAAAGAAAGGGCACCCAGGGCTGCAGCCTCACAGCAGGGCTTTCATTCTGTGGAAGAAACAGAGCAGAGTCAGTTTAGGAAAGCATCTCTGCTCTTTAACACCTCAGCCTCAGGTAAGCCTCACCCCTTCCCTGAGATGTCCCTGAGCCATCTCTAGTATTGTGGAAACAGAAGGTGAACCTCCCAACCCCGTATCCACTCCCATCTTTCGTCTGTTTGGTATAGGTTTCCCTAGCTGGTCCAGTAACAGAGGAGGCCTACCTGGGCTTCCATCTCAGGGAAGACAGAGGCTGCTGTGTCCCCGAAGAAGAGTTGCTTGTGGACACGCATCTTAGCTGCAATGGCCTCCACTGAACAGAGAGCAGAGACAGATGAGAAGGGCTTAGTTTTTTTGAGACAATGTCTCACTATGCAGCCCAGGTGGGCCTCGAACTTGCAGTGATCCTCCTGCCTCAGTCCCCTAAGTGACGAGATCACAGGCGTGTGCAACATAACTGCTCCTCAGGAGACTTCTAGGCCTCCCAGGGCAGGAAAAGGGGGACGATTTGGGGGAGGTGACGGAGGAGCAGAGTATCCCTGAGCCTAACAGGGTAAACAGCAGTCCAGGGAGATGGGGCACTCAAAGGGCCTAAGCAGAAGAAAGCCCGGGACAGGGAAGGGGCTGCTCTGTCAGAAGATGGGCGGAGCCATCTGGCCACGGAGCCCCGCCCCCTCCCTTGGATGCACGCACCGAGGCAGGGGTTGCGGGAGAAGGACCTCTGCAGCTGCTCGCATTCCTCCTGCAGGTTGCCGCTACCTCGGCAGGTGCAGCTCAAGGCCACACTGGTGTTAACGCTGCTGATGAAGTTGGGGGTCATGGCAGTGCCTGTCCGTGGAGAGAAGAGGCTGTCATGGTCCCAGCAAACTCGACTTCAGCTCCCACCTTGCCCCAGCCATCTCGGGACCTCAGCATCCAGACTCAGTCCCCAAACCGTTCTCCTCCTCCTGTCCTCTGTGCATACCCAGCCTCACCTATTAGCCCCAGGTACGAGCGTAGACATCGGAACTGCTCTGTCGCACAAGTCCCCAGGATGTCCCTGGGGTGGCAGTGGATCTGGAAATCTGCCAGGCGGGATCTGTAAGAAATTTCAAGAGGCGCCAATGAAGATGCGGCCTACAGCCATTACCTAGCTGCCTATCTTCAGGCCAACTCCTTCCCGGCCTCCAGCACCCAGCCCAGGGCCTCCTCCTGTGTGAAGCTGCCCGTCACAATCAAATATAGGGTCACCACTACCTGGCACACATCACTCTGCACCTGAGCTCCACAATCCTTAGGACACGGCAGGCAGCTCCTTGCACCTGTTTCCTTGACTACTAGAGAAGACCCGGCATGGCAGTGCACACCTGTAACCCCATTACTCAGGAGGCTGAGGTACAAGGATCACTCTAAATTCGAGACCAGCCTTTGCTACATAGTGAGTTCAAGGTCAGCTGGACTAGAGAGACCCTGTCTCAAAAGATCAAAACTAGCTGGTGATGTAGTTCAGTGGTAGAGCACTTGCCTAATATGCACAAAACTCTGGGCTCCATCTCCACTACCAAAACAAAAAAGGTAGTGAAAGACCAAAAAAAAAAAAATGGCAAGGCATTCCTTGGGTTCAATCCCCAGTGCTGGGAAAAACAAAAACAAACAAGAATGGCATTTATTGCAATTTATTACAGCATTACTTATAGCAATAAAGAAAACAACCTAAATGCCCAACATTAGAATGGTAAAATGAAATGTATGGCATTCATCAGTGGAACACAATGCAGGCATTTTTTTTTTTTTTTTTTTTTTTTGTCTTTTTCCTTTTTATCGGTACCAGGGATCGAACTCACGACTGCCTGCTTTCAAGGCAGGCGCTTATGCCGCTGAGCTAAACCCCCAGCCCCTACAATGCAGGCATTTTAAAAAGCAAAATTGCTGGGGATAGTTTCGCACACCTGTTGTCCCAGCACTCAGGATGCTGAGGCAGGAGGATCACTATGAGTTTGAGGCCAGCATTTGGGTACATACTGAGTTCAGTGCCAGCCTGATCTACATATTGAGGCCCCGTCTTAAAAAATGAACAAACATGGCTGGTCCGATGGCAGTGGGTTATCAGAACTTATTAACATTAGTGTCACTAAAGTTGGTATACCACCCCCCCACTGCTAAATTTGACTGGATTTTAAAAAAAATGAACAAACAAATCTTGGGTTTGGGGTATAGCTCAGTGGTATAGCACATATCTATCATATATAAGGCCCTGGGTTTGATTCTCAGTGCTACAAAAAATAGTAAATTATCAAGGGTATAACTGGGATTACAAGCTGGTGCCACTATCCCCAGCAAAAAATCAACTTCTTACAGGACAATAAATTTCAAAATAAGCACTGCCATTCATTTAGCAATTATTCGACTCCAGCAATCTAAGCAATCTACACAAGTAATTTTGGAGGTGGGGGTACTGCAAATTGAACTCAGGACCTTGTGGTTTTCAGGCAGGTGCTGTGCCACTGAGCTATATCCCTGGCTAGCCTAGGATCCCATGAGATCTGTATTATTATCTCAGTTTTCACAGAGAGTGAAACTAAACCTTAGGTTAAGAGATGGAGTTTAGGGTAAGTGAGGTACACATTATGCAGACTCAGGATTTAAATTTACATCCATCTGACTTCACATTGAGGCAAGATCCAAAATGCACCCCCTCCTCGCTGTGCTGGAGGCTTAGTTCCTGATGAGCTTTTAGAAGAACTGGATACAAGATCTCTGACTTCATTGGTGGATTCATCCTGAGCTCCTAGTTCCGTGGTATTATTAACAGGTGACAGAAACAGGAAATAGGGCCAACTTGAAGGGAATGAACCCTAGTCTCCAACCTCTTCTTCTGGGGTTCTCTCGCCCTGTTTCCTGGCTGTCATAAGGTGAGCAGCTTCTCGCTGCCACACCATCCCATCACAATGTCTGTGCTTCACCACAGGTCTGAAAACAATGGAAACCAGGCGTGGTGGTGCACACCAATAATCCGAGTATCTGGGAGGCTGAGGCAGGAGGATCACTGGGTGTTAGAGGCCTGCCTAGACTATGTAGTGAGACTATGTCTCAAAAACAAAATATAAATACATAAATAAGTAAATAAATAAATAAATGCAAGCAATGGAGCCACTTAACCATGACTGAATAGACTGTTCCCCCTCAAATTGTTCATGTCAGGTGTTTTGTCACAGCATCAGAAAGCTAACACATTTAAAAACCTGTCTTACCACTGTACCAAACTGAGAATGAAAAAACTCAGTCAGGCATGGTGGTGCACACCTGCAATTCCAGCATTTGGGAGGGTGAAGTGAAGATCACTGTGAGTTCAAGGCCAGCTTGAACTACATAGTGAGACCCTGTCTTAAAACAAAACAAACAAAAAAAGACACATGCTGTGGATTTAGCTCAGTGGCATAAGCTTCTGCTTGGCAAGCACAAGGTCGTGAGTTTGATCTCCAGTTTAAAAAAAAAAAAAGACACAAATATATCCGCAGAATGTTATCTGAATAGAAAAATGACTAGAAGTAAATGCTCAGCAAAATATGGTAGATTATCTCCAGGTAAGGAAGAAGTATTGAGTGACATTTGTATATATTTTTGTATTTTCTGAAAGTTTTTTTGGTTTTTATTTATTTGTGGGTTTTTTGTTTTTGTTTTTGTTTTTGGTGGGGGGACAAGATCTCACTATGTAGCTGCAGGCTGGCCTTGAACTCATTTTGTAGCCCTGCGTGGAGTGGAATTTGCAGAGATTTTCCGAGGGATTATATGTATGTGCCACCCACCCGGCCCTTTTTTGTTTTGTTTTGAGACAAGGTCTCGCTTTGTGGTTTAGGCTGGGCTTGCACTATGCAGCCCGTGCTAGCCCGGAACTTATGGGAATCCTCCTGCCTCAGTCTTCCGAATCCTAGGATCACAGGCATGCACCACCATGCCAAGCTGAAATTTTTTACTTGGCGCAGTGGGCATGGAGGCTGGAGGAAGGTACTTGGTCTTTACATTGAGCTGCTTTTCAAACTCTATTTTCTCTATTTTGAGGCAGGGTCTTTTTTTTTTTTTACTATAGCTCTCAGGTCTTAAGAGGCAGGGTCTTACTAAATAGCTAAATTGCCTAGGTTCACCTCGAATTTCTGATCTTACTGCCTCAGCCACTCACAGTACTGGAATTACAGGTGAATGACAACATTGCCAGCCAAAATACCATATAGATAAGTAGATACATAGATAGATAATTTTTCTAATTTTCCAAAATATCCAAGGTGAAACAGCTGGTGGGTTCACAGATCCCTGAGGGTTAGTGCCAAGCCATAAAGAAGGTGGCCTTGAGTGGTGATCTTGTCACTGTGGCTGCGCGGTGCACCTGCACAGTGGGTCGCCTATGCAGAGGCTACGCAGGTCCAGGCAGTTGGGAGTCGTAGAGGGCAGCGCGCAGCCGGGCGCGATGGTGTTGCGCCTTCGCTCCCCGCAGGTGCGGTCCGTGGGCGCGCAGGGGCACAGCAGCAGACCCTGCACATGCGGCTCCTCCGCCCTTTCGAAGAAGGTGCGCAGCTGCTGCAGGCAGACGTGGCGCTGGCAGTGTGTCCCTGAGCATGCCTCCCCGTAGGCCCTGCGCAGCCGGTCACACTTGTCGTGGAGGGTGCAGAGCATCGCGAACTTGAGGCACACGTCTGAGTCTGTGGGGAGAAGGGCACTGAGTCACGGGTCCATCCTCTCCCTATAGCTGCAGCTCAGCTTCCTAGGAACCCTGGCAAAGCCTTGGTTGGAAAAGGCTCATCCTATTCTTCCTCTGTTTCGTTTCGTTATTTGAGACATGGTCTCACTATATAGTGCAGGCAGGTCTTGAACTCACTATGTAGCCCACGCTGGACTTGAACTTTCAGAGATCCTCCTGCCTCAGCCTCCCAAGTGTTGGGATTGTAAGCGTGCATCACCACGCCCGGCTAAATCTCTGTGTTTTTTTTTTTAAGTTCTAATTCTAATATATAGAACTGAGTATACAATGGAACCCAAGTATTTCTCAAAAAATCATGTGCTGGAGCTGGGGATTTAGCTCAGGGGCATAAGCACCTGCTTTGCTAAGTGCGCACTCATGAGTACGATCCCGGTACAGATTTTTTAAAAAATTTTGTGCGCTGCATTCTCAATTAACTCACTGGCCAACTTTCAAAAAGCGCAACACCATGTGTCAAAGATCTTGCCAGCTCCATGGCTCCCCACCCTGCCACACTCCCACTACTTACTCTGCCTAACACCTCACCCATTCCATTAGAACTGTTGAAAACAAGCAATTTTCTAGTCTTTAGGGGAAAAAAAATTAATCTTCTTTCCCGGTGGCCATGACTGTGCATCACTGCTCCATTTCAGTACATTTTTCTGAGGCTGTGCCACACCTAACTGACTGCCGTCTGCTCTAGGCGCCCTAATGGGCTCTCTTCAAACTGTAACTGTTGCTTTCTGGTGACTCTCACAGTGGGAGCGCAGCCTTGGACACTCCACAGTCAGCACGCTGTGTCCCCTGACCCCAGCCTGGCCCTTGCCCGCCCGCCTGCCAGCCCTAGGCACCTGGTCTGAGCATGTTCAGCCTGCTGAGGTGCATTTTCCAGGGCTTGCTGGTCACTGCGTCCTCATATGGGGAGACATCCAGCTCATAGTCACCTAGAGACAAGACAGGGGCACAGGAACGCTGAGGACAGGGGTAGACAAGAGCAGAGAGGCCAAGACTGCTGGGTTGGACTGCACTGCCAGCGGGCAGCAGAGGAAACACCACTGCCTTGCATACTGAGCTGTGAGCTGCAAGCTATGCAGAGATAAGAAAACGCATCGCCAGGAAGGGGCAGGTGGGGCCCCAGGAGTAATCGGGGAGAATAACAGAAGCATCAGGATGGACACAAGGATGCACACATGTAGTCTCATTTCAGCTAGGAGCCTGGCAGGGTGGAGTGGAGTTTACCAGCTGAAGCCCACTTAAACCAGTAGGAAACTGGCAGCTAAGTGTGCTGGTACCCCTGTAATTCAGCCCTGTGAGAGGCTGAGGCAGGAGGATTGCAAAATCAAGCCAAACGTTGGCAAGCCAGTGATTCAGCAGCAAGATTTTGTCTCAAGAAAACACAAAACAGGGGTAGGGACTGGAGATGGATGAAAAAAGGCCAGTTTAGCTGGGTGTAGTGGTATGTGCCTGCAGTGCCAGCTATTCAGGAAGCTGTGGCAGGAGGACTGAGCGAACCCAGGAATTTAAGACCAGCCTGGGACTAAACAAAATAGAGCAAAAACCTGGGTGGTGTACCCCTATAATCACAGCACTCAGGAGGCTGAGGCAGGAGGACCACCATGAGTACCAGGCCAGCCTGGGGTTCACAGCAAGACCTCATCTCAAAAACAAAACAAACGGGCTGGGGATTTAGCTCAGGGGTATAAGCACCTGCCTTGCAGGTGTATGCTTGTGAGTTCAATCCCCGGTACCAATAAAAAAGAAGAAAACAAAACAAAACAAAACAAAACAAAAAAAAAAAAAAAAGACCAACCTGAACAACATAGTAAAATTTTTATCTCAGGAGAAATATATATATTGAGGGAGGGCATTTTGCAAGCAGGCAGCAACCAGAAAAATAATCCAGAAATTCTAGGATTTAAAGGATTAAGATGTGCAACTGTTTCTCATATTCAAATGGTAAAAAACAAAATCAAAAAATGCTTTGAGGAATAAGACCCAATCAAATATGTGACCACCATGAGGAGATTTGTGGAGATTTCTCAACTGATTAAAATGGTACCAAATAAATCCTGCCAGTTGGACAAATGTAAATGGGAAAAAAAGACCAAAATAGTGACCTTCCCACGGAGGCCTGGTCTGGGCAAGGATCTCTTCATCAGGTCTAGAAAGAGGTGCATGTCTTGAATTGTGGGAAAGCTACTGGCACACAAGACATCAGGAATGAAGATATAAAAAACAATCATGTTTTGAGAGAGTTGTACTTCTAGGAGATACTGCTCTGGATGAAAGGTCTAAGCTGTGACTGAGACCTAAAATTCCCTGACATTCTGTAGACAGGAAGCAGCTTAGAATGCACTTCAGTCCCTAAGGAGGTTGTAGTCTCTAATCCCCTTTTCAAATGTGGCCAAAGAGAATAATTAAAATAAGGACCTCCCAGGGCTTATGCTCAGCAGCATAAGCGCCTGCCTGGCAAGCAGGCGGTCATGAGTTCGATTCCTGGTACCGATAAAAATGAAAAAGACCAAAAAAATAAATAAATAAATAAAAAATAAGGACCTCCCAGAGGGCCAGGCCAAGAGGCCTGGGCACACCAAACAGGGCAACTACACTACTTCTATAGAGCAAAGCCAGGGTCTTAGTAAAGAACAATCCATGTGCCTAGGGGAGATCCTTACAACTGCTGCCTAGAAGGATTTCAGTACTACTGTGAAGGCCCTGAGGTGGAGGCTAGTGATGGAGCACATGCTTAGCAAGTGCCAGGCCCTCGGTTCAGTTCCTGTCTACCAGAACTGCTGTGAATTGGGCTGGACATAAGATCCCAGTGCTCAGGAGGCTGAGACAGGCGTATTACTGGGAGTTCAGGGCCAGCCCAGGCTACACAATGAGTTTAAAACTATCCTGAATGTCAGCGGTTTAGCTCAGCGGTTTAAGTGCCTGCTTGGCAAACACAAAGTTATGAGTTCAATCCCCAGTAGCAAAAAAAAAAAAAAAAAAGCCCAGCCTGAATTTCATAGTAAGACCTTGCCTCAAAAAGACAGGTAGGGGGCTGGGGATTTAGCTCAGCAGGCATAAGCGCCTGCCTTGCAAGCATGGTCGTGAGTTTGATCCCTGGTACTGATAGAAAAAAAAAAAAAAGATAGATAGATGGAAAGAAAGAAAAAAGGAAGAAAGGAAGAAAGAAAGAAAGGAAGGAAGGAAGGGAATTGCTATGAATCTATGTCTGCACTGTGCCTCCCATTCCTCTGCTTTCTGTGAGTATTAGGTTAATTTGAAGCTGTTGTGAGGCAGGTGACTTGTCTTTTCAACTCATAGGTTTCCAGGTCAAGAGGGGTCCTGTGCATACTCCATGTAGAAACTATCTCGAGATCCTAGACTCAAAGCTTGTGCTATTTGGACAGAACTTTTAGGGCATGTCCTTGGAAAGATGGTGGGTGTATTTACTTGTGGAAGGGAAGGTAACACACTTTTTGATGAAGTGGTGAATTACAGTAGATTGTATTATTATTTTCAAGTATTCTTTGCCCTCCCTGTAAAATCATAAATGCTCACTTTTTTTTTTTTTTGAGACAGGGTCTTCTTATGTATAGTGAGTTCAACGCTGGCCTTGAATGCACTATATAGTGTTCACTCACTGCCCCAGGCTGGCCTCAGACTCACAGTGATCTTCCTGCTTCAGCCTCCCAAGTACTGGGATTACAAACATGAGCCACTATGCCCAGCTTTTATGTGCACATCCTGCCATGTGATTTTTCATATCCCTCACTGTGGGAGGAATATACTCTCCCCATCTCAGTGATGTTATCCTCAGCCATATGATTTGCTGTCTACTAGAAAGGAGAAGTAGTGGAGAGAATTTGTGATCAAGAGTTTCTTAAAATATCACATGACTGATCATGTGGCACTTGCCTGCAACCCAGCACTCCAAGAGGCTAAGACAGCAGCACTGCAAGTTTGAGCCCAGGCCGGGCAACTTGGTGACTTAGTGAGACCCCATCTCTCTCTCTGTCTTTGTCTGTCTCTGTCTCTATCTATCTATCTATCTATCTATACACACACACACACACACACACACACACACACACACACACACTGGAGTCAGGCATTGTAGCACAAATCTGTAATCCCGGAACTCAGGAGGCTGAGGCAGGAGGATCTATGTGTTCAAGCCCAGTCTGAACTACATAGCAAGACCTTGTCTCAAAAAACAAACAAACAAAAAACCGCATATGGTCCTAACAATGCTTGTTTCCTTGTGCCATGGAGAAGGAAAATAATCCCAGACAGAGCTGCATCCCTACCCTGATCTCAGAATGAAGCAGACACATGAAACAACCAACAAAGGACCTGACAGGCAAGGCTAAACCTGCGTTTTGCAAACCTGCTTTGTAACCAAGACAAGGTCCAGTGACAACTAAGGAGAGAGGGATCCCTGGCAAGAGGCAACGGAGGCGGCTGCTCCCTGCTCTTTCTGCGCTCTCTCTGTTGCTGTTGTGTGTCTGGCTGTCTCCCCGTTTGTGGAAGGCAGGCCTGAGCCACCGCAGCTGATCTCTCAGAACCTGTGGGTACACGTATTTTGGAGCCTAGCTATGACTTAAGCCTTGGCCCTGTCTTCTTGCTCCTCTCCGGTGCCCAGAACTCCCAGCCTTGCCCGGTTCCCGGCGCTGCCAAGAGGGGGCCGCGGGGAGAGGCGGGGGAGGCGGTCCGCTGAGTATTTTCACCAAGCCAGAGGGAACCGACCTCCCCCTGGGGCTCCACGTGGGCCCGCGGGGGCACTCAAACCCCACCCAGAGCCTCTTCCCGGCCTTGTCCCAGTCCCCTCGTCTCGGTGGACGGGGCCTCACCGAGGCTGCGGGCAGGGTGGACGGTCCAGTAGATGTCCAGGCAGGCGGCCTGCTGCTTCATGCGCCGGTGGCACGAGCAGCCCGGCAGGGAGCTGTTGCGGAGCCGCCGCGCAGCCTGCAGGCAGTCGGCGAGGCCGGCCAGCTCCTCGGAGCGGGAGCCGGAGCCGGAGCGGGCGCGGGCGGGCGGCGGGCTGCTCGGCCCCGAGGCGCAGGAGCCCAGGTGCTGGTAGGCGGCTTCGCACGCAGGCTCGGCCCGGCACTGCTTCCTGGCCTGGAGGCAGCTGTTGGCGAGCCGGCTCTCTACGGGAAGGGCCTCCTCTGTGGAGGGACAGGGCAGGTGAGGCGCCAGAGTACACAGGCATCGACACTGAGGGGCGGGGAGTGGACATTGCCCGCAAAACCTTGTGAAAATTTTAGGGTAGCCCAAATAAAATGGTGGTGCACATCTGTAGTCCTAGCACCTTCAAGGCTGAAGCAGGAGGATTTCTGTGATTCTGAGACCTGCCTGGGCTACAGTGAGTTCAAGGACAGCCTGAACTATGTAGTGAGCCTCTGTCTTGAAAAACAAAATTAAAAACAAAACAAAACAAAAAACCTCAGAGGCGCACAAAGGCATTGACTGACTGGTTGATTCAGGGCCTTGCTTTGTAATCCAGGCTGGCCTTAAATTTATGATCCTCCTGCATCAGCCTCCTAAATGCTGAGATTACAGGCATGTGCCCCCCATGCATGATCACATTTTTTTTTAATCACATCTTTTTAAAAGAGTTTTAAATTGGAAATTTTTTTTATTGAGGTAAAATCTACACAATATCAAATTAACTTTCTTAAAGTGCACAATTAAGTGGCTTTTAGAACACACTATCATCCTAAAATGTAACCCACACCCATTAAGCAACCAACCATTCCTTATCCTCCCTTCCCCTGAGCCTCTGGCAACCACTAATCTTCCCGTCTCTGGATTTATCTAGTCTAGATATTTCACAGAGTGGAATAATACAATTGTAGGCGATCTCTTGTTCCACCTGGCATGTTGGGAGGTTCATTCAGATTGTAGCTTGTACCCGTCCTTCATTCCTTTGCACCTGGGAACATTTTCTTGTATGGATGCCACGGTTTGTTTCTCTACTCCTTAGCTGATGGGCATTTGAGTTGTTCCCACTCTTTGTTTACTGTGAATAATTTTCCCAAACACTCATGTCTGAGTATCTGTTTCAATACCTGTTTCCAATTCGCTGAACAGATACCTACAAGGAAGACTGCTGGGTCACAGCACAAGGTTGGATTTAACTTTTTGAGGAACCTTTGACTGTTTTCTACAGGATTCACAATATTTTATGTACATTCCCACAAGCAATGTGCAGAGATGCTGATTTCTCCACACATTTACTGATTCTTGTTACTCTGCCTCCCACTCCTGTCTTCATGATGGCCATCCTTGTGGATGTGAAGAGGCATCTCATGTGCTTTTCTCTTGCATTTCCTAAAACAAAAGATGGTCAGCATATTTTTATGGGCTTCTTGGCCATTTGTACATCTTCTGTAGTAATACACTTTTTTTTTTTTTGGTACTGGGGATCAAACTAACAACCTCACACTTGCCAGGCAAGCACTTGCACCACTGAGCTAAATCCCCAGCCCCAGTAATACACTTTTTACAGTATACAGCATACAGAAGAGTCTGTGAATCAAGACAAACAAATCTCACAAACTGAATACGTCTATGCAGTCAGAACCCAGACAAAGGAATAGAGCAGTCCTCACCACCCCTTTCTCAGTTACTGTCCTCCCCAACAAGAAGGAGACATCAGAAACTCATTTGGGCTGTGTGTCAATCATAAATGCGTGTTTTTGTGTCTTGGTTTCTTGTTTTGTTTTGTTTTTGACACAGAGTCTCACTATGTTACCCTTGGACATTGCCCATTGCAATGGCCTTGGACATCTGGCAGTCCTCCTGCCTCAGCCTCCCAAGTGCTGGGTTTATAGGCGTGCTGCACCATGCCCAGTTTGCATCTTGGCTTCTTTTGCTCAATAACATTGTGTTTACAGAATTCACCCATACTGTTAAGTGTGGTCATAGACAGCTTATTTGAATTGCTGTATTGAATTGGCAGTCATTCTACTGCTGACTGACATGTGTAAGTCATCTTTTAACACTGTAAGTTAAACTGTCTCATATTTCTGCTTAACTCCCTCCAACAGCTCCCACTGCATCTTCTCTCCAGGGCACAGTGGCACATAGCTGTGACCTCAGCATTCTGGGAGGCTGAGGCAGGAAAACTGAAGAGTCCAAGGCCAAGCTAGACAACTTAGTGAGATCCTTCTCAAATTAAACAATGTGCTAGGGATGTAGCTCAACAGGAAAGCCCTGAGTTCAATCCCCAATACAAAAAAAAAAAACAAAAAAACTAATTGTTTAATAAAGCCTACAAGACCTGGTATCTGCCCAGTTCACTGCTTCATCTCCAATCTTTTCTCCCTTGCCCACTTCCTTGCCACCACACTGACCTTCTTTGTAGTTGTCACTGAGCAAGACAAGCTTGTGTCCCACTCAGGGCTTTTGTGCTAGCTTCCTGCTTGCCTTCCTTTCTATGTAGTTCAGGTTTGCCTGGAGCTCACTATGCAGCCCAGACTGGTTCTGAACTCATGATCCTCCTGCATCAGCCCCGCAGTGCGGGGATTACAGGTGTGGGCCACCACGTCCAGAGGCCCCGCCTTTATTTCTGCTTGGAATACTCTTCCCCACGATCTTCTCAAAGCTTTCCCCTTTTGGGAATTTAGATTGTAGGTTAAAATCTCAGAGACAGCACCAGCCTGGCAATCACGAGGTCCTGAGTTGGACCTAACAATGAATGGAAAGTAGCCTCCAGTCACAAGAATACATTATTACTCCAGTTCTCGGCAGAACACTTATCACCAGTTGACTTTTCAGTTGATTTTTAAAAAACTATTTCTTCCAGTAGACTTCCGTGCTTATCCTATCACTAGTTTATCTCCAATACCTAAAACTGCTTGTTCACTGTGAGTTCCTGTTTAAGAAACAAAGGAATAACAGGGCCACTCTGTGAGCCACCTCTACATCTTCTCTAGATTCTTTTCCTCTACTTACAATCAAAGAGCTGCAAAACTGGGAGGGAACACAGAGCTCAGCCCACAGAACCTCTGCTCCAATCATATAATCACCTGGGTTTCTTATTTTTTTCATTTGGGTTTCTTATTAAGAGGCAGGTCTCTCAGAACTACTCAATCAGGATCTGGTGATAAAGCCTGGGATTCTACTTTTAGTGAGTTTTCTGCAGACTCTGATGCTCACTAAAGCTTCAGAGCTGGTGTCATATCCAGTGAATACATAATAATGGGATCAAGCCAGTGGTGGCATGTGCTTGTGATCCTAGCATTTCAGAAGGCTGAGGCAGGAGGTTCATAAGTTGAACCTCTGTGTGGGTAATTCAGGAATTTAGCAAGACCCTAATCACATTTTTTTAATTGAAAAAAGGTGAAATAGAATTTCATAACAAACTAATAGGAGAATAACAATACTTAATACAAGGTAATTACTCAGAGTACAAGATATGAGCATAAAAAATTTTCCAATCAATATTAGTACAAACCTTCCTGTTCAATGAAGTAAGAGATAGTAATAGTATAAGCTGTTTTACATTTTTCTCTTTTTTTCCCTTAATTCCTTTCCCCTTTCTACCCTCCTAAGTCCTTTTTCCTTTTAAACATTTACTTCCCATTTCACAATATCTACTATACAATCTAGACCTTATTTACTCTATCAGTTTCTTACACCACGGAGACAATATGATGTTTGCATGTATGATTTATTTCATTTGTGAGTATGGTCTCAAGTTACATCCATTTACCTATAAAAGTCTCACGGTTATCCTTTATGACTGAGTAGTATCCTATTGTATAAAAATACCATATTTTAAAAAAATCCATTCCTCAGTTGATAGGCATTTGGGTTACTTCCAAGATTTTTTGCGGGGGGGGGGGTCTTTTCTTTTTTCTTTTTTCTTTTTTTTTTTTTTTTTTGGTACTAGGGATCAAACTCATGACCTTGAATTTGCCAGGCAGTTGCTTATGCCACCAAGCTAAATACCCGGCCTCAGGGGTCTTTTTGAAAAAAGGTCTTGCTATGCAGTTCAGGCTGGCCTTGAGCTCATTTTGTACCCCAGGCTGGTCTTGAATTTGCAATGATCCCCTGCCTCAACCTCCCAAATGCTGGGATTACAGGCATGCAATACCACGCATTGTTTCCAAGATTTAGCTATTACAAATTGTGCTGCCATAAACATAGGTGCACATATATCATTGTGGTATGTTTTTAATTCGTCTGGAAGACACCCAAAAGGGGAATAGCTGGGTAAAACGGGACCTCTAATCCTTTGAGGAATCACCACACTGATTTCTACAGTGGTTGCACCAGTCTGCATTCCCACCCACAGTGGAGAAGGGTTTCTTTTTCCCCACAGCACTCCCAGCATTTGCTGGTGGTTAATTTCTTGATGATAGCCATTCTTTCTGGGGTGAGATGGAATCTCAGTGTTGTTTTAATTTGCATCTTTCAAATGACCAATGATGTTGAACATTTTTTCATATATTTATTTGCTATTGAATTTCTTCATCTGAGAAGTGTGTGTTCATCTCAGATGCCCATTTGGGATTGGGTCTTTCAGTTTGACACCAGAAGAGATCTGAGTTTTTCCAATTCTTTATATGTTTTAGACATAAGTCCTTTGTCTGAGGTACAATTAGCTAAAAATTTTCCCCCCACTCTGTGGGTTGTTTTTTCATTCTGTTGGTGATTTCTTTTGATGTGCAAAAGCTTTTGTAATAAGATGAGATCCCAGCTGTTGATTTTTTGAAGTATTTCCCATGCAGCTTGGGTTTTATTCATGAACTTTCTGCCTACCACTATGTCTTCAAGATTTCTACCTACTTTGTCTTCCAGTAGATTCAGTATTTCCAATTTTAATTCTAAATTTGTTTTTAACACTTCGATCTTTTGACTTTAGTTTACTGCATGGTGATAGACATGGGTCTAGTTTTAGTAATCACCATGAAGAGAGCCAGGTTTTCCAGCAGCATTTATTTATTTATTTATTTTGGTAGTGGCAATTGAACTCACGACTTCTCAATTGCCAGGCACCCACTGTGCCACTGAGTTATATCCCTTGTCCTTTATTAGCACTTTTTTTTTTTGTCTTTTTGAGACAGGCTTTCACATGTAGTTTAGGCTGGCCCCAGTCTCCCAGTGATCCTCCTGCGTCAGCCTCCCAAGTGCTGAAGTACACCACGCCTGGCTCCACTTCCTTTTTAAGGCTAAGGATATAGCCTAATACAAAAACTTCAGGTTCAGACCACCAAAAAAAAAAAAAAAAAAAAAAAAAGACAAATTCACTTAATTTTTCCTTTTGTTTCAGGTTCCAATATGCCACAGTATAGCAATGGTTCATCTGTCCATCTACAGGATCTACTACCTAGTGCAAGCTTGCCTTGAATTCCCAGCATCCTCTCACCTCAGTCCTGGTGACACAGGTGAAGCTGGCTGGAGAAGTGGGCAGAACTCATCAATTTCAGGATCCCAGCGTGGAGCCAGATGGTCCTCAGGACTCCACTGTAGACCCCTTCACCTCCCACCCCCACTACCCCCACCCCCACCAATTGCACTCTCACAAGATGTGGGGGGTGGAGTGTGGGAAACCAGACACCAGGAGGAGCCACTATTGTGATTCCTCAGTGACCGGTCCTAGGTCTTCTGGCCCCAACAGTATATTTTATTTTTGTTCTTTTTCTGCTTTCCTCTTTTGTTGGGGCCTACTTCACTCTGAAGAGCCAGTATTTCCCTTACTTCTTTACCTCTTATTTTTCAAACAAACCTTTGGCTTTTCTTGTCCAATCCTTTGAGACAAGAAGGCCCTTAAGGCTGGGTGTGGTGGCATAAATCTGTGATTCCAGCCCTCAGGAGGCTGAGGGAAGAGGATCACCATGAGTTCAAAGCCAGCCTGGACTACATATTGAAACCCTGTCTCACATATAAAAATAATAACAATGAAGGAGGAGGAGGAGGAGGAGGAGGAGGAGGAGGAGGAGGAGGACTTGGGATACTTTCATTTGGCAAGCCATTTTTTAAAGAACTACCCAGCAACACTGGAATTACAGGAGTGTGCCACCACACCTGGCTATCTATCAGAATCTCTTTAGGAAATGTGGCTCAAAAAATGTGTATTAACCCAGTGTCAGCACACACCTGTATTCCCAGCTACCAGGTAAAAAGAGAACCACTCAAGCCCAGTTTGAAGCTAGCCTGATCAGCACAGTAAGACCCCAACTCAAACCAAACCAAAAAGAAAGAGAAAGGTAGGAGGCACTCACTGGTAGTGCAGGTGTCTAGCATGTGTGGGGCTTCAGGCCCTATCCCAAGCAATGTTTTTTTAAAAAGATAGTAAATAAAAGGCTTGTTGGATATCTTTACAGATGGAACAATTTTTAAAATTTTTTTGAAATCTCAAACAATATTGAAAAAAGGTATGAGATTTTTAAATTTTTACAAAACAAAAACGTAATATAAACCAGGCTTAGAAAATCTAAGAAGACTAAGGAGTCACTGCAGGTCGGGTTCCAGCAAGAGGCTGCTGAAAGGAGCAAGTCTCACTGTTGTCTCTAGACTAAGTAAATATTTAACTGAATTAAATATTGAATCATAAGGATTTTTGAAAGAAAATTTCTAAAATCTCTTAGCTGACAGGTCAGCAAGTGTCAGCAATGGTGCATCTTGGGGTAGGGGGATGTCTCAGCCCAACAAAGACCTTGGTGGGGCATGTGAAATGTGTCAGGACAGGGCAGGACTTTTGTCCCCTGGACTGTGAAACAAATGGTTGATCCAGGGCAAAGGTCACAAATTGATTCAGTGCACAGATGTTTCCTTTGGGGGGTGGTTTGAGAAAGCATCTGGTTATAGAGTTCACAGTTCAGACTGACTTGAACTCACTATGTGGCCCAGGCTGTGCACTCATGGTGATCCTCCTGCCTCAGTCTCCTGAGTGCTGGGATTACAGGCAGGTGCCATCATACTCACTTTAAAAATTTATTTTTGAGTTACTAAATTACTAATTACCCAGGTTGGACTAGAACTTGCAGTCCACCTATCTCTCAGAGTGCAGGGATTCCAGGCATGTGCCACCTTGCCCAGCTAAAACAGTGTTTTCTTTTTTAACAACACTTTTAATCTATTAACATTTTTGAAATGGTCAAAATTTTAAAGCTTCAGTGTTAATGCTCAGTTTGAAAGTCTGTGCTCAGAGGAAGCTGAACACTACATTTGGTACAGGAGTTGAGCAGCGTATCTAACATACCGCTTGCTCTTGCTCTTCGATGAGCTTTCATCTCACTTTGTTCTCAATTTGTCTGCACTGCTGTTTTTCACATCAACGAAAAAAGATAACAGATAAGAATAATCACCTATCTCTCTTTCTAACAGCAATCATCCTCTTGTTATTAGTCTCCTGTTCCACTCATATCAAGTCAAGAGTCTGGGAGAACTGGACCCTCCAACTCAACCCGGGAGGCCTCTCGGTGCAACCCTCACTTTGATACCCAGGCTGACACCTGCCCATTTTGGGCCTCCTCTCCTACCTCCCCCAGCACCTTGAACTTACTACTCAGACCCACACCAGCCAGGCCTTACTAATGTACCTATTTCAGGCCACCTGGCCCCAGCCTAAAGCTCCTAAAACAGTATTTTCTTAGAAATGTAATTATGGTCAATATTTAAAAACTAAAAGATTTGAGCCAGGCGTGGTGACATATGCTTATAATCCCAGCACTCAGGAAGCTGAGGCAGGAGGATCACTGCAAATTAGAAACCAGCCTGGGCTACAAAAGTGAGCTCAAGGCCAGCCTAAACTGCATAGTGAGACCCTGTCTCAAAGAGACAAAAAAAAAAAAAAAAAAAAAAACCCTGAAAGATTTAAAGTGAGTGTAGTGGTGCACACCTATAATCCCAGCACTCAGAAGGCTGAGACAGGAAGGTTGTCAAGAGTTTGAGGCCAGGGGCTGGGGATTTAGCTCAGCGGGATAAGCGCCTGCCTTGCGAGCAGGCAGTCATGAGTTTGATCCCTGGTACCGATAAAAATGAAAAAGACAAAAAAAAAAAAAAAAAAAAAGAGTCTGAGGCCAGCCTGGCTACATGGTAAGCTCAAGGCCAGCCTGGACAACTAACAAGATCTTGTCTCAATAAACAAAAACCCAAACAGACAGACTAAAAAATCTGACATAAAAATGAATTTTCACTATGAATGGTGGCATACACCTATAATTCCACCATTCTGGGGGCAAGGCAGGGGGACTGACCTGAGTTCAAGGTCATCCTGGGCTACATAGCAATGCTCTGTCTCAAAAGAAAAACAACAAAAAGAAACCAACAACAATAAACTATGGATTTCCAACTTCTCTTGAAATACAGAACATTCAGTTCCAATGTCTCTTGAAATGGGGAATCCAGACCCACATCCTCACAAGGCTCACAGTGGCGCTGCGTATGCAATGTCTGCCCCCTTCTGGTAAGTTCCGCCTTTCCAACTTGTCCTTTCCCTACATTCTCTGCCATCTGTGCCTCTGCTTCCTCATTCACACAGCCAGTATTGTTTCTCTCTAACTGTTCATCAGCAGCCTTGCTTCCTGACTTGATTTCCTCCTCAGTTCATCAGAGGATGAGCAGCTGAAATTGTGGTAGGTTATGCTTCAGGGCATGGTATCCTTGTTTGTTTGGGATTTGCAGCCCAGCTACTCAACCAGAAACCCCTGCTGACAAGTATTACTGAGGAAAATAGAAAATACAGCTGCCCACCACTCTGCCCCACTGAATGAGTCCACTGAGGTGTGTAGCGCATACCCCGTCCTGACACGCAGCCATACACTAGTGTTAGGTGTGATGTCACAATCAGATTGGATAGACAAGTCCTTTTCCTTCTTCCTTCCATATATGTCCCACAGTTGCAATTGTCTTTCTTGTTTGTTTTTTCCTTGACAGGGAATCTTGTTATGCTGTTCACATCAGCCTTGAACTCACGATGTAGACTAGGCTAGCCTCCAACTTTCCTAGATCCTCCTGCCTGCCAAGTGCTGGGATTACTGGTGTGCATCACAGCTCCAGGCCCAGGAATTGTATCTCTGTACTACCCTCTTGTGAAAGAAAGTGTGTGTTTGGTGACATGTGTGGTCCCTGTTGCAGGATTCACTCTGGCTCTGGCAAAAGCCATGCTCTGTGATTCTATGCATCTATCTGGCTGCCCAAAGCCACGGGCATTGTTCAGAGTGGTGCTCTCAGGCTGTCCTTCCTCAGGGAATGGCTGTGGTTCTAAAACCAAGCTGGTACTACACATTCCTCAAAATGCCCACTGTGGACTGACCTTTCCGGCTCTGTAGGTATTGTGCCAGCCGGCGGCGCGGGAGAGATTTCCTGCCCAATAGGGAAGCAGTTACAGTGCTAGATGTGACGGTCAGTGCTAACAACTTTCTTCTCTTTCCCTTTGTTCATTTGTGCCTCCTCCTTAGTCCTTTCCAGGATGTTGGAAAGTTGCAAAGGTAGAGGAATTGAGGCCATGGGGAACACATGGCAGTCCTGCTTCCCTCTCCGAAGCACCCTGGCCACAGGATGCTCTGGATGCTCTGGGACAGAGTAGATGCACCGCATAGAGGGAAGAACGGATCCGGGAGAGCAGAGATCCTCGGATGTTCAGGTGGTTGCTGGCACTCGAGGTTGGTGCACCAGTTCAGACCCAGCATTAGCCCAGAACGCAATCCCTTCCTGGTACATTAGGCTTCCTCCTCTAGGTTCCAAGGCCAGGAGGGATGGACGTCCCGGACGTCCCCACTCGGGACTCGGTGCCCAGGCCCCCTCCACGCTCACCTCCACCCGCCCCTCCCGTCTGATCGCACGCACAGGTGCCACTCACCGGCTCCGAGGGGCAGCGACAGCAGTAACAGCAGCAGCAGAACCACCGGCAGTGGTGGCGGCGTGCTGGGGGCGCGCACCATGGCGAGTGGGGTGCCGTGTCCAAGAGGGCACTTTGCGCCGGGCGCCGCGCTGCTCTGCCCGCTGGACAGTGAGTTTGGAAATCTGGGCTCCCGGGCGGGCGCCTCCCACCACCGCCTCCCGCGCGCTCCCACCAGGGTCCCAGGCGCCGCCCTCCAACTGGGGAGCGCGCGGCCGCACCTCGCTGCCTCCTGCTCCAGAGGAGGCAGTGAGAAGGGGCAGTGCCCAGTGTGCCCATCTGCCGCCCGCCGCCCTCTGCTGTAAGCAGGGCTGTGGAGCTGCTGCGGGACCCACTCCACACCCGGGGTCCAACAGTTCTCAACAAGCAACGCAAAACGAAAAAACCCACCCTTTCTCACCTTCCAGACCGGCTCCCCAGGGAAGAGCACCCACCACAAGTGCAATCTTGTAACGAAATTTGAACTATCATAAGGGTACTTGAATTTTGAGTAGTTTTTTCCTCGTAGAATCTGCACATCTATGTTCTCACTTGTCCCTTACTGTGTAAGTATCTTTAAAGGTAAGATTCTATGGTGGTTATTATAATCAGTATTCTACAAAGCTGGTGAAAGTACTTTGATGGAAGAAGCATGACTAGGGTGAGACCCAGAAGCTTCTCCAGACTTGACTGCACCAATTCATTTTCTTTGGTGTCACCATGGAGGACAGCATCACACACACACACACACACACACACACACACACACACAGAGAGAGAGAGAGAGAGAGAGAGAGAGAAAGAGAGAGAGAGAGAGAGAGAGAGAGAGAGAGAGAGAGAGAGCTTGGGCCAAAGATAACTAAAAATGATGTTTGGAGACCTTTTAGGAAGCCCATTATTTTCAGATAATCAAACTTTCAGAGATTGAGCTACTTTACCACAATTAACCTAGGAAAAAACAGGCTATGCCCAAAATCTAGAATGCCTACCCACAAGGGTAAGGGGATTATCAGGCCTGAGCCTGATTCCTGCCAGTTTCCAGAATGCCTAGGAAGAATGAGAAGTAGTTCCTAGAGAGAGAAACGAGGGTAAAGAAAGGAATGGGGCTCCATTCCCTGATCCTTCGAGGCAGGCGGGTCGCTGCTTCCCCGGCAGCCTGGCGGAGCGCCAGGGGAAGGGTATTGTAAAGCACAGTATAAACCTCTCAGATTTATTGGCTGCTGCTCTTGAACATGGCCATCCTGCTGTGGCCTCTGGGGGGCATTTGCAGATGTAATCAGCCCAGAAAGAGAGTCATTCCGGCAGGGGTGTAAATCACCCTTCACAAAGCTAGGAGAGAGACATGTGGCCCTAGATAAGGAAGGAGACTGATGTGGCCTCTGTGCCCTTCCCTCCCTTCTCCTGCCCAGGGGGAGCTGGTTCCTGAGCTGTAATGCACTTTAAATGGAGTTTATGCTTCATTTTAATCTATATCTGCCCTGCCAGTTTTACAGGAGAGCTGTGAAAGTGAACATCTGGCTACCCAGCTATTGTCTGGGGTCTGTTTTCTCCCAGCTCCCACCCTACCTGATGTACCGTTCCCAAGCCCTCTCCTTCAGTGTGGCTGGGAAACCTGTAGCTGGGGAGCTGATGGCCTTGACTGTCCTTCCACTCTGGCAGTAATTTCAAAATAAATTTATAAAGCAGGTAGTTGATATACAAGGAAAGTGCAAAGACCCATGAACCCAAAAGATACTGTGTGGCCAAAGTGTATCCCCCTCCTCAGTCAACCAACCAGAGTCAAGCTCTTGGTAGAAGGGTACCAAGTCAGTGCTTATCCAAAGCTGTCTGTGTGGAATGGACCAAGAATGCAGGCACTGGATCAAAGAAAGTGTTTGGGAGCAAGGCCCTATTCATCCTGCAGGGAGGCCAGCTTTTCAGGTTACAGTTCAGGTGCATGGGTATCACTTCTGTCTCAGCTATATGGTGGAGAGGCTGACATCATGGGCTTTTAATGAGGATTTGCAACCAAGACTAGGGGAGGGTAGAAAAAGCCCTGCAAATAAATATGATTCCAAACTAATACTGGCAGCTCTCTAGTATACCCTTTCCCCTCCAGTCACGCCCTCCAGGATGGCCACTGCCTGCGGGGTATCCATGTGGGTAATGACAAATGAGCCCGTTCTTTCTAAAGAGATGTCACTCAGCATCATTCAGCCCAATGTCCAGTTTTGTGCCAGATGCAAAATGACTGAGACACAAGCCCCGCCCTGGAGAGTTCTTATGCTCTACTGATTGAGGCTCATGGGTCCAAAGTCCCTGTATCTTACTGTACTTTCATTTGCAATGTTTTTCTTCTACTTATGGTCAGGCTATAGGGATTATGCCTTCTCTCAAGCGCTTTCTCCCTGTTGAGCTTTAATTCCTGCTGCTACCCTAAACTAGGATGACAGCAAAATAGTGAGTAGTGAGGACCAAAAGCTTTCCAGATTGCCTGGGGTCAACAGCATCTCTGACACTTCCTGGGTGACTCTGAGTAAGTTTCTTATTACTCTGGTCTTCTATTTCTTCATCTGCAAGATTAGGGATAACAGTATCTGTTTCATGTAGCAATTATAGGCATTAATAAGTACATATTTGGTATAGCGTTTTTAACACGGAGCCTGAAACAGCAAATGCAGGACACATTATGACATCTTGGTGGAAGGCAGGGATTAACTATTCTATGAACGTGGCCAGGCCCCCCCACTTGCCTGCTTATGTGGAGTTGGAAGTTGCAGCATTCCTGCCCTTTGCTGAATATTAGTGGGCCAGGGTGCTTCTAAGGATGAGGACAGAGAGAATCTCTCCCCTTTTTCTTTTCTTCTTCTCCTCCTTCTCCTGCTTTTCTTCCTCATCCTCCTCCTCCTCCTTCTTTCTGAGTCAGAGTTTCACTAGGCAATTCAGACTGACCTTGAGAGAACCTATTTCTATCTTATCAGTGTTTTAAGGGCAGCAATCATGTCACATCTGAATACCTGTAAGAACTTAGAACTGTTTGTTCTTCTGTCTCCAATGGTCTAAACAGGTTGTATCTTATTGGATTTTATTATGTACGATAGTATAAGCAAAAACTTTTAAAGACAAGGAGATTATACAGAAACCATTGTTCATTTTCTTAGTTGATTCTAAATACCCTGTAATGCTGTCATTCTCTTAAATGGTTTTACATTGTTTTGATATATTTGATGCTACAGCATACGAAGTTATACTCAAAGATTTCAAGAAGAGAGACAATATGGTAACTACTTTTATGTCGGGATTATCTTGTGGTGAAACACTATTCTGCTTAAATGGTTATGTTTTGATCTGCACTGTTTTGCTGTTATGCCCTCTTTTATCTCAATCTCCACTTCATTATTTACTTTTTTATTTTTATGCTTTTAATTAAGGGAAAAATAAATAAAAAATAGCAGGATATATTATAGTAACCCACTCTGACTTTCCATTATCTTGATTTAAAGCCCTGTATTACTCTCATCATCTTGTTTTTGACTGATGTCCCCCTATTCTGTTTTGCTTGATAGTACCAGGTTCGAAAGTTTAGGCAACAGCTGTGAAGATAGTGAGATTCATTATGACGCCCATTCTCGTTGACTATTATCTACTTTTGAAGATCTATAATGTCTCCAATGTTTTGGTTTTGTCGGTTTTGTTCTTTACTGTTTTGTTCAATTTTATTATAACTGATGATATAGGCAATTCTATTAGAGATAGCGGGAGGCATTATGGTAACCATTATGTCCACCCTTTCGATTTGATTGACTCTGTTCTGTTATGTCACATTTGGTTCTACTCCCTTCCAAAAAAATAATAAGAACTGTGGGAGCAACAAAACCCAAAATGTGTAATTGTCATTGTACAAAAGAGAGGAAAAGAAAGTGCTCTAAACGATATAACTGCATGTATATTTAAGTATATAAGATAGATAATGATATCACTGAGTTTTGTTGGATCATTGAACAGAACTGTTTGCAGTCTCACTGTTGGAATGTCTTTACAAGCTTTAATTTTGTGACTTGAACAATTATTTCTAAGATGACAATATGTAATCCATTAACTAGTGATTTCCTGTTTATTTTTTTCTGTAAATCTGTATAACTTGTATCCTTTCTCTGTTTTTTTTTCTCCTTAAATAAAATGAAAAAAAGAACTTAGAACTGAAAACCCCAAAATGAAGCAGTTACTTAGCATTTGCCTGAATAGAACAGGGAGAGAATATCCCAAGGCTCCTGCTATATATTCCTAATAAGGTCAGCCAGGTACTACAGTACTGGGATGATTGAGCTTTTTTGGTTTGTTTCGTTTTATTTTAACGGTGCCAAAGATCAACCTATGGCCTCATGCATGCTAGGCAAGCACTCTGTCACTGAGTTACATCCCCAGACCCAGTCAGTGGTTAGTTTTGGTTTTGGATTTGTGAGTTAAGGTCTTGCTATATAGTCTAGGCTGACCTAGACCTCACTATGTAGCCCAGGATGGCCTCAAAGTCCCAGTGATCATCCTGCTGCGGCTTCTCAAGTGATAGGATCACATGTGTGCACCACCATGCCCAGTCCTAGTCAATTTTCTGAGACAGGGTCATGTAACATAGTACAAAATGACCTTGAACTTGCTTTTGTAGCTCAGGCTGCCATTGAACTCACAGTGATCCTCCTGCCTCAGCCTCCTGAGTGCTGGAATTATAGACATGTATCACCAAGCAAGGCTCCTAGGAAGGTTTTTTTTGTTGTTGTTTTTTGTCTTTTTCCTTTTTATTGGTACTGGGGATCGAATTCACGACTGCCTGCTTGCAAGGCAGGTGCTTATGCCGCTGAGCTAAATCCCAGCCCTGAGTTGTTTTTTTTTTTTTTGTTTGTTTGTTTTGTTTTGTTTTGTTTTTTTGTCGCAGGCAGTTTTTAGATCAAAAGATTTACATTCTTTTGAAACAGGGACTCACTACCTTCCAGCTGTCCTTGAACTTATCACCCTAGGCCCAGCAAGATTCCACTCATTATTTGACCTCACGCTAACTACCAGTCCATTCAAGGGTGCCAGTGAGAACTTACCTCCTCAGAGCCATACACTGGGTCTCTCTTTGATCTTCCAAGCCCAATCCAGATTT